TATATTTCATTGTCTCAAACATAAGTTGGTAAAATAATCATTCCTCATTTTGATCTACACTGCTTTTACTATCACATTACTTTGTTCTTATTCACAAGTACAGCACATGAATACAAGTGTGCAATATGAGCAGAATGATTACATTGCAATTCTGTTTCTGATTATACTATCAAGTTTATAAAATAAAAATATTGAATTTGATTTTAATTAGTAACTACTAAAATGAGAATCTTATTTTTATCAATTTGATATGAAGAAATCTCTGTTAAAAGTAGTTTGAAATTTCTTGACATAAGTTTCAGAGTCAATGTGCTGAACTTTTAAAAAGCCCTCTCTTTAATAGTTATAAAATGACTTGAATTAAAATGACTTACAGTTTTGAAGACAGAAAGAATGAAAAAGGAAAGAAAAAACAGCCAGGAAACGAAAAACAGAATGCTACTCCTCCTTGACTCCTGGCAGCAATGGAGAGGTGTGAAGTGTATCTCTGGGCATTGGGGAGAAAGAATACAGGAATGATGAGGCACCAAACTCAGTGCTGTCCTGTTAGAGAGGAATAGCAAACTAAACTCACCTGATGCCTGCCCGTGAAGGGAACATTTAAACCAGTGCTACCACAAGAAGAATCAGCAATCCCAGAGGTTCAAACTTGAGTGCCTGCAAACCTTGCCACCAAGGGTCAACTGCTGAGCATGAACAGGCACTTCTGGAAGAAGACATTTATGCAGCCAGCAAACATATGAAAAAAACTCATCTTCACTGATCGTTAGAGAAATCCAATCCAAACTACAACGTGATATAATCTTTCACCAGCCAGAATGGTGATAATTAAAAAGTTAAGAAACAACAGGTGCTGGTTAGGCTGCAGAGAAACGGGAACTCTTTTAGACTGTTGGTGGAAATGTAAATTAGTTCAGCCATTGTGGAAGATAGTGTGGCAATTCCTCAATGACGTAGAACTGGAAATACCATTTGACCCAGCAATCTCATTACTGGGTATATACCCAAAGGAATATACATTGTTCTATTATAAAGATACATGCACTGATGTATGTTCATTGTAGCACTATTCACAATAGGAAAGACATGGAATCAACCCAAAAGACCATCAATGATAGACTGGATAAATAAAATGTGTTACATATAGATCATGGAATGCAATTCAGGCATAAAGTAGAATGAGATCATGTATTTTCCAGGGACATGGATGGAGCTGGAAGCCATTCTCCTCAGCAAATGAATGCACAACAAAAAACCAAATACCACATGTTCTCACTCATAAGTGAGACATGAACAATGAGAACACCTGGACACAGGCAGGGTAGCAACACACACTTGAGTCTGTTGGAGGGTGGTGGGGAGGGGACGGAGAGCACCAGGAAAAATAGCTAATGCATGTGGGGCTTAATACTTAGGTGATGAGCTGTTAGGTGCACCAAAATAATATGATACATGTTTACCTATGTAACAAACCTGCCCAAATCCAGAGCCAATATCATATGTACCCTGGACCTTAAAATAAAGAAGAAAATATCATGTGTACCCTGGAAGTTAAAGAAGAAAAGCAGTATGGCGGTACCTCTAAAAACTAAAAATGGAATTACCATATGATCCAGCAATCCAATTCTGGGTATGTACCCAAAAGAAAGCAAATTAATATATTGAAGAGATAGCTCTACTTTGTTCATTCCAACATATTAACAATAGCCAAGATGTAGAATCAATGTAATTGTTCATCAACTGATGAATGGATTTAAACGTGTAGTACCTATAAACAAATATTATTCAGCCATCCAAAACAATAAAATCTTTTCAGGTACATACAACATGGATGGAACTGGAAGACATCATAATTGAAACAAGTCAGGCAGAAAAAGGCACATATGGCATATTCTCATTCATATGTAGGGAAACGAAACATTGATCTCATTGAGTTAGAAGATATAATGGTGGTTACCACATGCTGGAAAGCGTAGTGGAGCAGGGGATAAACATTATTTTGTTAATGAGTACAAAAAATACCACTACATAGAAGGAATAAGATCTATTTTTGGTAGCATGAGGGGTGACAAAGTTAAAAATAATTTATTATGTAATTCAAAATAACTAGAAGAGTAGACTGGGTGTTCCCAACACAAAGAAATAATAAGTGATTAAGGTGATGGATATTCCAATTATTCTGACTTAATCATTACACATTGTATGCTTGTATCAAAATATCACATGTTCCCCATAAATATGCAACACTAGTATATAACTACATATACTAGTATACAACCAGTATATAACCATAACAAGAAAAAAATTTTAAATTAAAAATTAATAAAAAGAAGATTGAGGAGAATAAAAACTTCTCAGTGTACTTCACATAAGAAACCTCATTATCTTTTTCACTGTCCATTTAATTGTATCCTATATGCCATTCCTTACAATTTGTATATCTAGGTTTCCCATAAATTTAGAAGAATGTTTTATCTGAAGCACTCAAATGTGACTCCTTAATAACATGGAATTGGAAAGATGCCTTAAACTCTGTCAAATAGAAAACCCAAACAAAAATAAATAACTCCAAACAAAAACATTGGTTCTTTATCTAGAGACAAAAGCTTTACATGGAACAAAAGTATGCTTTAACAAACTGATTTTATTGGAAGAAATAATAGAACCTGGTTTTCCCAAAGTTAATGGATAATTTTCAATGTACTTCAGTTGCAGTCATCATGCTGACTTAAGTTTTATATTTCTAAAATTTTAGGATTTGCTAATTTTTAAAGACTCTTATATTCTAAATTGTGTATAAGGGTAGATTATTTTAGAAGTGTTATTTATCTGAAATGTACATATATTATCTCAAATATGTATGTCTTCCTGAATGTTGTTCAATAATTATTTGTTTTTCCTGAAATTTACCTCTTTCCTTCTGAGATATCCTGTATTAATAGTGCTTGTGAAACTCCTTTTTCTCTCTAGATTCATGTCAAGTAGTATGTTTTGAGAAATTTATTCTCCACCTAAACATCATGATTTGTTAGATGTCCCTCCTATTTGATCTACTTTTGTAATCTCATAACTCTTTATGTTTATCTTTATTATGACAAATTGTATACTGTGCTTTAAATATTGATTTTTTTTGTCCGTGCCAAACACAGCACTGAACTATTTTAAAGGGCAAAGACAGAGCCTTAAACTTCTGTTCTTAATTAATTCAATACCATATGCTTAAAACACGGCAAGCACTTAATACTGCTTGCTCATATAGATATATAAATAAAATGTAGACATTTTCATAATGCTTTCTAAGATTACCTTTTTTAATTTCTGCTGTAGAAATATTTTAAAGTACTTGCTCTGCCTTTAAATAGCACATGTCCAATTTGAAATTATCAGTTTGTTTCTCTGCACTGAAAAGTATGTTTTTACGAACAGATTTTAAACCCACATAGAATCTTAAAAACATATTTGATTCATCTTATGTATTATTTTTAATGCAACCATATTTTAAATTTGCCATCAATTCTATTCTTGCAATGTTCAAGAACAAATATAAGGCATCACATGTTTATACACTTGTTATTCAAATATTTTTTCAGCTATTCTCCTTAAGCACTAAGCTTGCTTATATTTAATCTGTTATGGGTAATTAATCCCTATCATTTTCCTTTGTACAGGTATAACTAAACAGTTACACAATCCCACACTCTAATTTCAAATCATTTAAATTCTATTAATTGATGAATGCATTCATCATTCATTTGAGGTGATGGGGTAAATCTTTAGAGATAACACCAGAGGACTAAACTTATAGAAAATTTATTATGATCACATAGACTGTGCATCTTCCACACATTGCTTATCTATGATGCTTCCTATCAGTAGGGACTTTGCATGCTACCTGTGTAAGTCAGTGCTGGAAGAAAATCAGACAGGTGTGGTGCCCTTTACAAGAAGATAAAGCACTAATAATTCCCCGTAAATTATATACTGTCCTGCATAATTATTAGAAGGAGAGTATGACCAATATAAGCAGTATCTATAATGAGAAAATATAAAGTCTTGATTACTTTTTTTTTTTTTTGAGATGGAGTTTTGCTCTTGTTACCCAGGCTGGAGTGCAATGGCGCAATCTCGGCTCAGGCAACCTCCGCCTCCTGGCTTCAGGCAATTCTCCTGCCTCAGCCTCCTGAGTAGCTGGGACTACAGGCACGTGCCACCGTGCCCAGCTAATTTTTTTTTTTTTTTTTTTTTTTTTTTTTTGTATTTTTAGTAGAGACAGAGTTTCACCATGTTGACCAGGATGGTCTCGATCTCTTGACCTTGTGATCCACCCACCTCAGCCTCCCAAAGTACTGGGATTACAGGCGTGAGCCACCGCGCCTCGCCAGTTTTGATTACTTCTATGACACATAAACCAGAATCACCATTAATATAATGATTACCAACATAGGGAAAAAGAAGCAAAACCAAAAAACATATACAATTCTAGGCTCCTGGTGGTTCTTGAATGCTTGTTTGTGTAGTCTTGTTACCACTTTTGTGAAGTGGCAGCCAAGGAGTCTCTGGGGCCACAGCCCATGAAAAATCCAAGGAAAGAGTCGAGACCAAGAACAATGATGATATTAATTTGAGGGTGAGGGTGGCAGAGCAGGATAATTCTGCAGTGCAGTTTAAGATGAAGATGAAGAGGCATACACCACTTAGTAAACTAATGAAAGCCTATTGTGAATGACAGGGCTTGTCAATGAGGCAAATTGGATTTCAGTATGAACAGGGAGCCAATCAATGAAACTGATACATCTGTACATTTGGAAATGGGAGTTGAAGATACAACTGATGTGTTTCGGTAGTGGACAGGACAGAGCTATGAAAAAGGAAAGCAGCAAGGGAAGCTGCTTCTTCACTCCAGAACTCCGCCCTTAACAGAGCAAGATTACATTCTCAATTAGAAAACTGCAATTTGGTTCCATCACACCCTGACTACTACAATGCACATTTTTTTTTAATAGGGTCTCACTCTGTCAACCAAGCTGGACTGCAGTGATGTGATCATGGTTTACTGCAGCCTTGACCTCTCAGACTCAAGCAATTCTTCCAACTCAGCCACCAGAGTAGCTGGGGCTACAGGTAAGTGCCACCATGCCCAGCTCTTTTACACAATTATTTTGTAGAGATGAGACCTCACTGTATTGACCAGGCTGATCTCAAGCTCCTGAGCTCAAGTAATCCTCCTGCCTCTCCCTCCCAAAGTGATGGGATTACAAGGATGAGGCAGAATGATGAGTCCATTCCTTAATTGTATATGAAAGAACTGTTATATGTGGAAGACCAAGGCATCAGGGTCACTTGAGGTCAGGAGTTTGAGACCAGCCAGGCCAACATGGCAAAACCCTGTCTCTAACAAAAATACCAAAATTAGCTGGATGAGGTAATGCACGACTTTAATCCCAGCTACTAGAGAGGCTGAGGCAGGAGAATTGCTTGAACCCATGGGGCAGAGGTTGTAGTATGCCAAGATCACACCACTGCACTCCAGCCTGGGTGACAGAGCAAGACTCTGTCTCTAAATAAATAAATTAATAGAACTGGTATGTGTACACAGCATATTATATAAATTTTTTAATTGAATGGCCAGTGGTATGTTTTGACTAATATCAAGTGGAGATGAGAGGGGGAAAAACGCTGATTCTGTGGCAATATCCCCTTTATCCATTCATGGAACACTCATTAAACTCTTCTTTTTATATTCTAGTAAGTTACATTTTTCTCACTATTTAAGCAACAATGACAACAGCAAAAAGAAAAAAAACCTTGCATAGCTTGTTCAATAAAATAATTTTAATATTTTTATTTTTCATGATAAAATAAAGAACAATTTTATAAATTCTTTTTTTTATTGCATTTTAGGTTTTGGGGTACATGTGCAGAACATGCAAGATAGTTGCATAGGTACACACATGGCAGTGTGTTTTGCTGCCTTCCTCCCCTTCACCCACATTTGGCATTTCTCCCAATGCTATCCCTCTCCAGCTCCCCTCCCCTGGCTGTCCCTCCCCTATTCCCCCCGACAGAGCCCAGTGTGTAGTACTCCCTTCCCTGTGTCCTTATGTTCTCATAGTTCGTCACCCACCTATGAGTGATATGCAGTATTTTATTTTCTGTTCTTGTGTCAGTTTTCTGAGAATGATGTTCTCCAGATTCATCCATGTCCCTCCAAACGACACGAACTCATCATTTCTGATTGCTGCATAATATTCCATGGTGTATCTGTGCCACGTTTTCTCAGTTCAGTCTATCATCAATGGGCATTTGGGTTGGTTCCAGGTCTTTGCTACTGTAAACAGTGCTGCAATGAATATTTGTGTGCATGTGTCCTTATAGTAGAATGATTTATAGTCCTTTGGATATATACCCAGTAATGGGATTGCTGGGTCAAATAGAATTTCTATTTCTGGGTCCTTGAGGAATTGCCACACTGTCTTCCACAATGGTTGAACTAATTTACACTCCCACCAGCGGTGTAAGAGTGTTCCTATTTCTCCACATCCTCTCTAGCATTTGTTGTCTCCAGATTTTTAATGATGGCCATTCTAACTGGCGTGAGATGGTATCTCAATGTGGTTTTGATTTGCATCTCTCTAATAACAAGTGATGATGAGCATTTTTTTATATGTTTGTTGGCCTCATGTATATCTTCTTTTGTAAAGTGTCTGTTCATATCCTTTGCCCGTTTTTGAATTGGCTTGTTTGTTTTTTCCCTGTAAATCTGTTTGAGTTTTTTGTAAATTCTGGATATCAGCCCTTTGTCATTTGGGTAAACTGCAAAAATTGTTTCCCATTCTGTTGGTTGCTGATTCACTCTAGTGACTGTTACTTTTGCTGTGCAGAAGCTGTGGAGTTTCATTAGGTCCCATTTGTCTATTTTGGCTTTTGTTGCCAATGCTTTTGGTGTTTTGGTCATGAGGTTTTTGCCTACTCCTATGTCCTGGATGGTTTTGCCTAGATTTTCTTCTAGGGTTTTTATGGTGCCAGGATTTATGTTTAAGTTTTTAATCCATCTGGACTTAATTTTAGTGTAAGGTGTCAGGAAGGGGTCCAGTTTCTGCTTTCTGCACATGGCTAGCCAGTTTTCCCAACACCCTTTATTAAACAGGGAGTCCTTTTCCCATTGCTTGTTTTTGTCAGGTTTATCAAAGATTGTATGGTTGTAGTTATGTTGTGTTGCCTCCAATGCCTCTATTCTGTTCCATTGTTCTATATCTCTGTTTTGGTACTAGTACCATGCTGTTTTGATTACTGTAGCCTTGTAGTATAGTTTGAAGTCCGGTAGTGTGATGCATCCCGCTGTGTTCTTTTTGCTTAGAATTGACTTCGCTATGCAGGCTCTCTTTTCATTCCATATGAAGTTCAAGGTGGTTTTTGCCCATTCTGTGAAGAAGGTCAATGGTAGCTTGATGGGGATAGCACTGAGTCTGTAAATTACTTTGGGCAGTATAGCCATTTTCACAATATTGATTCTTCCTAACCATGAACATGGAACGTTTCTCCATCTGTTTGTGTTCTCTCTTATTTCATTGAGCAGTGGTTTGTAGCTTTCCTTGAAGAGTTCCCTTATGTTCTTTTTAAATTGCATTCCTAGGTATTTTATTCTCTTTGTAGCAATTGAGAATGGCAGTTCATTCTTGATTTGGCTCTCTTTAAGTCTGTTATTGGTGTATAGGAATGCTTGTGATTTTTGCACATTGATTTTATATCCTGAGACTTTGCTGAAGTTGCTTATCAGTTACAGGAGTTTTTGGGCTGAGATAAAGGGGTCTTCTAGATATACTATCATGTCGTCTGCAAATAGAGACAATTTGGCTTCCTCCTTTCCTATTTGAATACCCTTTATTTCTATTTCTTACCTGATTCCTCTGGCTAGAACTTCCTGTACTATAATGAATAGGAGTGGTGAGAGAGGGCATCCTTGTCTAGTGCCAGATTTCAAAGGGAATGCTTCCAGTTTTTGCCCATTCAGTATAATATTGGCTGTTGGTTTGTCATAAATAGATTTTATTATTTTGAGATATGTTCCATCAATACCAAGTTTACTGAGGGTTTTTAGCATAAAGTGCTGTTGAATTTTGTCAAATGCCTTCTCTGTTTCAATTGAAATAATCATGTGCTTTTTGTTTTTAGTTCTGTTTATGTGGTGAATTACGTTTATAGACTTGCGAATGTTGAACCAGCCTTGCATCCCCAGGATAAATCCTACTTGATCATGATGGATAAGCTTTTTGATGTGCTGTTACAATCGGCTTGCCAGTATTTTATTGAAGATTTTTGTATCTATGTTCATCACAGATATTGGCCTGAAGTTTTCTTTTCTTGTTGAGTCTCTGCCGGGTTTTGGTATCAGGATGATATTGGTCTCATAAAATGATTTGGGAAAGATTCCCTCTTTTTGGGTTATTTGGAATAGTTTTAGAAGGAATGGTACCAGCTCCTCTTTGTGTGTCTGGTAGAATTTGGCTGTGAACCCATCTGGACCTGGGCTTTTTTTGAGTGGTAGGCTCTTAATTGCTGCCTCAACGTCAGATCTTGTTATTGGTCTATTCAGTTTCAGCTTCCTCCTGGTTTAGGCTGGGGAGGACACAGGTGTGGAGGAATTCATCCATTTCTTCCAGGTTTACTAGTTTATGCGCATAGAGTTGTTTGTAATATTCTCTGATTGTGGTTCAAATTTCTGTGGAACCTGTGGTGATTTCCCTTTTATCATTTTTTATTTAATTTATTTGGTTATTCTTTCTTTTCTCTTTTATCAGTCTGGCTAGCGGTCTATTTTGTATATTCTGTGGATTTGGGGTGGACAGTTCTGTAAATGTTTATCAGGTTTGCTTGTTCCAGGTCTGAGTTCAAGCCCTGGATATTCTTGTTAATTTTCTGCCTTGCTGATCTGTCTAATATTGACAGTGGAGTGTTAAAGTCTCCCACTATTATTGTGTGGGAGTCTAAGTCTCTTTGTAAGTCGTTAAGAACTTGCCTTATATATCTGGATGCTCCTGTATTGGGTCCATATATATTTAGTATTGTTAGCTCTTCTTGTTGTACCAATCCTTTTACCATTATGTAATGTCCTTCTTTGTCTCTTTTGATCTTTGTTGCTTCAAAGTCTATTTTATCAGAGACAAAAATTGCAACTCCTGCTTTTTTTGCTCTCCATTTGCTTTGTAAATCTTCCTCCATCCCTTTATTTTGAGCCTTTGTGTATCCTTGCCTTTGAGATAAGTTTCCTGGATACAGCACGCCGATGGGTTTTGGCTTTTTATCCAATTTGCCAGTTGTGTCTCTTGATTGGTGCATTTAGCCCATTTACATTTAGGGTTAATATTGTTATGTGTAAATTTCATACTCCATTTTGATGCTAGCTGGCTTTTTTGCCCAATTTCATAATTTCTTTTGGACAGACATGTAGGACAGTCTGTCTATAATTAGAGTTAAATTACTATGAAGAAAATAAATCCTGAATAGTTTTCCTCTGCCGTCCCTTTTTTGTCCCCTTTGATGGCATCTCATGTGATCACATATCTTATTTTTGAAATAAACTTTCTGTTTTTTAAAAAATTCAAGTGCCTAAACATAGATGATAGATCATAAAGTTTAAAATCAATAGAGCTAATACTATAAGAAGGATAAACACAGGGAGAAGAGCACTACACACGGGGGTCTATTGGGTGGAATAGGGGAGGGACAACGGTGGGGGGAGCTAGGAAGGGATAGCATGGGGAGAAATGCCAGATGAAGGTGAAGGGGAGGAAGGCAGCAAATCACACTGCCACGTGTGTACCTATAAAACTACGTTGCATGTTCTGCAGATGTACCCCAAAACCTAAAATGCAATAAAAAAGGATAAAATTGTTTTATTTACATAATGTACAAGCTGATCAGTGCAAAATAGAAGCAGAGATCTGGAATGATAAAACATAATACTTTATTCATTTTTTGAAGAGTTGTTCGTGTCTCTATCTCCTTCAGTTCATCTCTGATCTTAGTTATTTCTTGTCTTCTGCTAGGTTTTGAGTTTTTTTGATCTTGCTCCTCTAGCTCTTTCAATTTTGATGATAGGGTGTCAATTTTGGATCTCTTCA